AACTCAAACTGAATTATTATATAAGTTTGAGTTTAATTCATGATTAAAATATAATATTATATATTTAATTATAGTTCTGAATTTAAACTATAATTTTATTTATAAGTATAATTTATAATATTTATTAATACTAAATATTTATTTAGAAATATTTATTGAAAATATTATTTAACTTTTTAAATATTTATTATTAATTTAATTATCTTATAATAATTTATAACTTATATTTTTTTTGTTTTAATAAATTGAATTTAGATTTTTATGTTATATATATATAATTTGAAAAATATATAAAAAATTATAAAGCTAAATATTTTTATATATAAAATTTGTTAAATACTTTAATATTATTTAAATTTTGTTTTATTTAATATTAATTAATTGTTTTAGATATAATATCATTAGCAGAGCAAGTACTAGAGATACTAAAAATTGATTTTTTTAATCATATATGGGATGTGCTAATGTCAAGAAATATTCGAGTTTATAATCTCTTGTCAAATCTCAAGTTTTACTATTTCCAGTAATTGATAAAGAGAAATCAAAATCTTTTATGTGATATTTGTTTAATAAATTTAGATATTATTTTTAGAATATTAAATGGAAACAAGTAAAAGTTACTGATATTTTTGTTGTTAGTATTTCTGAATATGTGCTGATGTTAAGAAACTCATAGTTTAAAGATAATATAATAAAAGTGAACTTTTTAAATAAAACTCTTATATTACTTGATGAAACTAGTTGTAAAATTAAGTATAATTAAAAATATCTGAAAAATATATAATATATACACCAAAAATTATTATTCAAATATTAGTTATTTTTCTAATTAAAGATATATAATATATATTTTTGAGAATAATATAACTAAATATTTTTGATTTATCAAAATTACTAGAACAGATCTTATATTTTTTAGAAATTGATTGATTTCTCTATTCTGCTTTATTTGTTAACCATCTTTGATATTATTATAATACTCCTATTTTATGGTAATGAATTGAGTTTTTTATAGAAAAAGATTATCAGAAAAATCTATATAATTAAAAGATCTCTCAAGCTCTTATTTAGCAATTGATAAACTTTAAAAAATTATATGTGAAAAAATAAAATCAATCTATTGCTTCAAGATGATATATCTCAGATTAAAAAATTTGAGAATCTCAGATACATTAATTAGTATAGTTCTATGTTCATGTCCAGATATACACACTCTTATTTTTGACTAAAGTAATAATTTCACTAATATATCAATTATAAAAATTGTGATATTTTCTATAAAACTACAGTATTTGAGTCTTAATTTATATAAATATCTTACTAATCAATATAACATGTTCATATCAAAAATTTAGATATCTTGAACTTGATAATTATTTAATTAATAATGAAATTATCAAGAAAATAATTTGTAACTATACTAATTTGAAATATTTTAGTTGAATAGATATAAAGGAATTAGTAAAGAAATGATAAAAAAATTTAATTCTAAAATTGTGTAAGCAAGCAATTGAATATCTTAATTATTTAAATGAAATATGATCCAGTTTTTATTTATCTTTATATATTTTAATTTTTACAAATCTATCAATAGATAAAACAAATCTTATTTCTATAATTAATAAATATATCAGAAAGAGAGATTGATAAAATTATTCCTAATTATTTATCATGGATTACAAATAATTTATTTAATATCAAAGAATAAGTAATTATTTATTGAATTATTTTTTCAGTTATAATATATAGTTTTTATAGAAATATTTATAGATACATTATCAAAGTTTAATACTATTAGCAAAAGCTTGTTTAATAGGCTTGAAAAAGATTATGAGTTAGAAAGTCTACCTAATAAAGATATATTATGTAAAAAAAGGATCAAAGATCTATTACAAAGTAATAAAATGCTTAAATTTATAATTTTACTATAAAGAAAAGTGACGAAGCTTAAATGATACTAAATTAATAGATTTTCAAATTCACAAAAATTTATTATTCATTTGGTTTTGGGATAAGAATAATTATAAATGTATAAAGCAAAAAATTATCTTTGGATTTTCTTCCAGAATTTATGAATACTGTAATAAAATTGTAATAAATAATATAAGTATTCTATTAATTAATAAAAATTTTAATAAAGCATATTCTAGTAAAAATAATCTATATAAATTTGATTTATTAATAGAGAAGATTATGAATATAATTAAGAAAATTCTTTCAGATATCAAAGATAATCAGTTAGATTTTTTTGATTTTTACAAATTCTAATATATTATATCAATTCGCATTAAAAAAAGAAAAAATATTGTAATATCAAGATTATTAAAAGTATTATAATATCTGAATATAATTCTTTTATAATTAGAGGATAAGTATATATATAAGATTGAAGTAATAATAAAATATTTCATTCTAAAGTGTAAAGTAAAAGGCAAAGTCTCACAAAGTAAGAATATTATTATATCTAATTATCTAGTTTGTAATAAAGCTGAAATTGTATAATACTTATTTATTTCAAAATCTGAATCTAAAATGTAAATGTATAATATAGTAAATAAATCTAAAAATAATTATAATTATAAAAAGTATATCACATTATAATAAAATTAATATTATATATTTTTAATCTGCAAATCAGAGATCAACACATAATTACTGATAAAAAATAGTTAATTTATTGATCAAAATTAATAATACATTATTCTATATCTGGAATAATTATTATATGATCTATTTTGAACATGTAGAATCTATTTTGAATATATTATAAGTATATGATTTAATTTTTTAATATATAATCTATAATACATAATATGAGAAAACAGTATTCTATGCTTTTACTGTTACTATTGGGATTAAATTTTGATATTTATTTATATAATAATAAAGATGATAAGTTTTTTCATCACAATATTCATCACTATTCCAAAAATTCTCTATATAATTTTTATATTTTCTTTTTTATGATTTTTATTACATAAAAAGCAGAATACTGATTTGTTAAAATCAAAATAATTATTTTTAAAGCTATATTTCAGAATTAAAATAGGAAATTACTTTAATACTATTTTAATAACATGTTGTTGTCTTTCTTCAGGATTATTTGGTAGAACAGAAATTGAAATTGAAAATTGTTATTTAGATAATATAGATGAAATATTTATTTGCTATATTCAAGTTTCCAGTAAATTGTTCTGTAAAATATAATTATTATCTTTTTAATTTGTGAAGACTCTGAATTTTCAGACTTTATCCAAGAATTAAGTCCAGTTTTTTTCTTATAAATTTTATATAACTTGAAATAAAGTTTATCAGATATAATAATTGGTAAATTAATTAATTTTAAATACCATTCCAGATATTCAAGAATTAGTAATATCTTATCAAACTTGGCTTGTATATTCATATTATTATTTATGTAATTTCAAAGCAATTTAATTTCTCATATTAAATATTATGTACTAAAAATATTCTCTTTTCTCTCTATTATTTGGAAAAAAATATATATACTTTCAATATATGTTGTCTTCTGGCTTCGAGCAGATACTGCAAAAAAGCAGATTATAAAGTGCAAACAAATTTTATGCAGTTATTTGAATTTTATGTTGCTCATATTTAATATAATAAGTTTTATCTTTATATTAATCTTTTATGTCTTTTCATTATCATAATCTAACTTGCACAAAGAGCATGATGTTTCACCAGTAATTCTATAATAATCAATATTTTTATTATTAAATTCATAAAATATATTAGAATATTGATCTAATACTTTTCTATAAAAATTTATATGATTATGAGTTAAATTATTCTGTTTTTCAGATAAGATCTTCTTGGATTAAAATATAAATATTATAGTATTGCACTTATCTCATTTTCTGATAATTTTTTTGACTTATTTAGAATACTTACCTCATCTAAGTCAAATAATTTAAACATAAAAGAGTGAGATTCAGGATCACGCAATGTGCATTTCATTATGATCTTTTTAGATATAAGAGTATTCTCAATATTCTGGAAAAAATATTTTATAATATATTGAATTTGCGAGTTAGTAAGTTTTGATATTCTATTTGTATTATAAGATTTAATCTATTTGATCTTATCCTTTTCTATACTGTTAAATAATTTATAAATCTTACTCTTTGAGTTTGCTTACAGAAATTTTCACATAAGACATCAGAAAGACAATTTCAAATTTCATCATAAACTTGAATTCTCATCAAGTCATCTGCTCTTTTATTATTTCAGAAGATAGATAAGATATCAACTCTCTTTTCAAAATCTTTTGCATAATAATACCAGCTTAAAATTTCTTTTTGCTTAAGTATTCTTTTTAGCCTTTCATGCTTTTTGATACAAATGAGCTAACTCAATAATAATATATTTATCATTCTCATTGTGAACTGGTATATTTGGCTCTTTACTAATAACTTCCATTAATTTCTCTAAAACAGGTTTTAAATATAATTTCTGTATAAATTTTTGCATATTCATCTGGTTATCTTTCTGAATTGAATTGTTTGTAGTTATATTGGTGAGGGATATAGAATTATATGAAGTTTCAATTGCGGGAGGGTGAGATTGGAGATCACACAGTTGATATTTAGTTATAATATTTATTGTGGAGAAAAATACACTATGTGCTTCAAATACTTTATTTTCTGGAAAATTTGGTAACTGTCTGTGAAGTAGGAGAAGTAGAGCTTTGAGTTTTCATATGAATTTGATCATTTTCCAGGAAAACAGTTTTTATATCACATGATGAATTATTATACAAAGATAAGTTTTGTTTCTGAAGTTCCTTCTCCCTAATTCTCTTCATTATCTCTTTACTTATGTACCTCTTGATTTATAGATTCTATTGGAATCATATTATACTCTTTGGTATAGTATAGATGAGGACAACCATAATTTTCTGGCTCATTTGGCACAATATCATACCAACGAACCATAGCAAGGTTGTATGGATCCTTTGCTGATCCTCGAAAAACCGTGACCTATTCCTTATAAACCGTTTCTACAAAATCTAGGGTCTCAGCTAAATCGTCATCGATAATGTCTCGTGGCAAAGAGGTTACAGGTGTTTTAGATTCAGATCTTGTCAAGATATGTTCTAGTTCGGGTAAGCAATTAGGAGTAATATCTTTCTCCTTATCAGGGTGATCCTCAATAGGTGATGGAGTAGATAACTGAGATGTTACTGGTAATGATGAACTGGTTGGAGAGTACGAAATATCTACTGTAGAAGACGTATTTTGTGCATTAGTACTAATTTGGGTTTGTTATTTAAGTAGTATTCTCAACTTCACGCTTGATATTTTCATCTATCATCTGTTTTAGCTTCGCATTCTCTAACTTAACCTCGGTGTTCTCGGCCTCAAGCACTTCTAACTCTGACGACATGTTGGGGTATCAACAGTTTTATATAGAAAGCAGATTTATTCAAAACTTCGAATCTAATTTTTTACTTCGCAGGCACAAGGTGCCTAATCAACTGTGATGTAGCCCGTGATGGGCCGTGATCCAGCATTGATTCGTATAATTATATAGGGAAATCTTTATTTTTATCAGCCGTGATTGAACCGCGATTCAACCGCGATGATGCTTAACTTTGGAAAATAAAATTTACTACATGAAAGAAAATATGATTAAACGTCTTTATTATAAGTCGAGGACCTCAACATTTCGACATTATAATATATACATGATTTTCGCAAGGTGACTTAGTTGCCCTAGCTTCAATGATATAACAGCTCTATTCTGAACTCGAAAGCGGATTCTCCGTTGAACATGTGAGTATTTGTAATGATTTTTATCAGGATGTGTCGTGGAATTTATTTCTTATACTGTGCCGACAAGCCTCTTCTTGCAGGTCCAAGATCTTTAATGTATGGTCATAATTCGATAAATTAACCGTGACTCAATCATAACATAATTTATTAGCTCAACTATCAGAGTATTAAATAATGATAATCAGAAATCTCTTGTTTTAATGCAAGATTGGCCTCAGGGCCTGCTTTATTAAATGCAAAAATTATTAGAGGTATAGTAGAAAAACTCTAGGGAAAAAAATCAATACCACTATCATATACTGCGAATAACAGTTACAGGTAGAAAGAAAATCATCATTTCTTGGGAATTATTTCCTCTATCCTTGATTCGTTTTGCAATTGTTTTTTTTTTGCTGGTGACGCTTCTAACGGATTTTCATTTGAGGGAGTATATTTCTGCGCCTTCCGCGAGATTTCCTGCAACTTAAGGTAATAATCCATTACACGGCTCTATAATGCCAAATATAATGTTAGATCAACGAACATTATATATGGGGGTGAGTCAACAGAAACCAAGCAAATTATATATGTATTACATATATAATTTGCTTGATTTCTGTTGACTCACCCCCATATAGTGATTACCAGGAATTGTACCTTAAAAAAATAAACTTTTTCTACGATTTCATCTAGCACATATGCCTGGTCCTTGTTGTCCGGAATCGTGAAGTTTGTAAGGATGTCAACAATGTGCAAACCTCCTTTATAACGGTGCATTGTGTAGATTGTTGTCTCACGCTCTAAAATGACAGGGCAAAATATGATGGATAATTTGAATCGGTAATAAGCACAGCACGAACGCTACGTACGGAACACAAATACACCAAAACTTTGAAGGCAGTCAAGTTGTTCTTCTGTTGCATTACGTCGTAGTTGGTGCTGTCGCTGGTAAAATATTGACAACTGCATCACTACAAAGATAAAAAAATTCCACGAACTTTACTGCATAAAGAATTCAAGACGTGAATATCTAACAATTACAAACCCTTAAACAATTTCTCCAGATCTTCACGACATTTTTTAAGATCCACAACCATTGCGTTCCCTACAACCTCTAAGAATCCAATCTCTATCTCACTTGCATTCATGTAAATCTTTAGAATCCCGTCATGATTTGACCCAAGCATTACCCGAGGCTTTTGGCCTTTTGTCTGGTTTCGATGTTGTTTACGTAATGCGCTCTCTATCTCTCCACTAAATATTATATTCGATTAATCAAGAATTCGTTACATCTGGTATAAATACAATAAACTAAACTATACAAAATATGTAACATACGTTTAGAACCTGATCTTGTCGTTCATATCCTCGAATGCCTTGGGAATTATAGGATTAACAAATGATTCTCTGTAAGCTATCTCCAATGTATTTGCATCGCGAAGCATGTTAAAAGAAGAGGCGAACAAGAAAATACTAAAATAAAATACAGAAATTAATTAATTGACTGTGTTGCATTATACTAAGTAATAAGGTATACGGTATACCTACAATCGCTGATAGATATCTTGTACCCATAACATGTCATAATGTTTTTTGAAATCAAACTCGTCTTCGAATGGTATTTTGAAGATAATTTTTGTTGATGATAGCTCCACATAATCATCAAAAACTAATTCTGGCTTCACCTCAACAGCAAGCGCATACTTGTCAATTAGAGGCTTTATACTCTTTACCACCTAGGTCGACGCAATGTATTCTGATTCTCTTCAGCTGATGGCTCCATCTAAAAGAATGTGCAAGATTATTACTGATTACAATCCAAAGCTATGTAATACATACTTCCCAGAATTTTCTCATTCTTTTTTTATCATCATCCGAAAAGACTTTATTTATTGGGTCTACGAGACTTTTTTCGGAGAGGTTGACAATACGATATTCAAAAAGACGATGATCTACATTTTTCATCTTTGCGATGAGGTCTTGAACCTCGGCTGATGCATTCTCGTTCTCATATTGATAATATAAATCGTTGTCCTCACTATTAAACTGAATTTGAGCTTGACGGGGAGGGGGAATGCGAGGTGCATCCGATTCGGCTGTCTGGTCTGGAATCCTCTCAAGCTCGACAGAAGTTTCAAGAAAGATGTTCGTAAGAGAAACTGATATAATCTCAGAGTCGGAGTCTGACGAGAAATCCTCTTTGTCACATGGTGGAGAGTTGATTGTTCTGATTTGTGCATTTAAAAGGTGGTCAAATGATTAAAAAAGTTTTGCTAGCTAAATTTTAGATTATATACTGACCTTAGTTGGCGGAGTTGATAATCCTTCTCCATAATCGTCCGCATTTCGTCTTTTTCTTTCTAATACTTGAATATGCTCATTTAACATATTAGATCTTATTTGACAAGCATTTTGTTCCTAGACGGTTTGCAAAAAATAAGTTAATAATAATAACTTCACTAAACTTATTTATTAGAATGTAGATAACTGACTTCTTTTTCTTGTAATATAATTTGTGCAGTTTGAGTATTAACTTTCTCTTCGCGAATGCGGAGAACATTCCAAAAGCCTAGTGCAGTTGCAGAGTTGACAACCTCGCTAAAATTGGCGATCAGTTTTTGAGCTTTTACGGCTTGTTCGCCATTCTCAGATACAATGGCCTCTAACGCGTCAAATAGGGCTTCCTCTGCCCGTTTCTTTTGAATATACGTAAATTCGGTCTTTTTGAAAAACTTATTAGCATTAAAACCGGTTGATAAAATTTCTTTTAGCACTTCGACATAAGCCTGCAGATAAGTGATATAACAAAATGACAGTAATATGTTAATATCGCGAATCAACTCAATAGCGACTAATAGGTTTTAATGTATATAATATATAGACCATGATATTGATCCTAAAAGGACATAATATCAAAAAAGAATTAGTAAGAGTTTTTAAATAACGTTTTTGCTTTCTACAACTCTAGCCGAACCCAAAACTTTCTCCAGATAATATAAAGTTGCTAAACGAAAGTCAATACATAGAAGATTGAGAACTCAACCATGCAAGTCTTGCTATGCTAGCCGTTTCGCCTTCCATACCAGAGGCAGACGAATCTCCTCAGGCTTTACAGGACGGGGAACCGTTGGATATAAGAACCAAAACCTTACACATCATTCGAAAGCCGATATACATCCGTTTCGCTTTCAACACCAGAAGCAGACGAATCCCCTCAGGTTTTACGTGCCAGGGAAACGCTGGGTTTGCAAAGAACACAATGTAAAAGCCATACTTAACTTCTCAAATCAATTTATGTAATTGAATGATGGTCGGTTGTTTCGAAAATTGAGCGTTCGTGGGCGTTGCACAGATATCTCAGATCATGATTACCTTACATAATAATCACGTGATTGATCCAACAAATGAATTAAAATCGGAGAGCAAACTTGTGACCTCGATAAGAAGAGATATTTCGCTATACTAGTTTCAGCGTCGTATTAACGCGCGTATTAATAAAACCCAACCCTCGAATAAAGAAAATCAATATACCTTCAATGGATCGAATATTATATCATGTTCGGAAGAGTTGACCGTCGGTAATACGTCTGTTTTGAGGGGCTCTTCTTTATGTTCAAGTTCCTTTTATTTCGGCTTCTCGCGACAACTTAGTCTTCTTAGCCGGTGTTTCCTCCGACGTACGGCTTCTTTTTTTCGTTTATTAACGATGACATAATTGCAAAGTTTATATTGCTGAGTGATATAGTTTTAGCAGATAAAAAAAGGTTCGCGTGTATTACTAATAGGCGAAATATACAAAAGCAATACTATTCGACGAGCCGTTAGGCTAGAAAACCCTAGAGCCGATGTCTTACTCAAGAAGAATAGTATGTATATATTTTTGCAAGAAAAAAAACGTGGGAAGCAAGAGATGAACGACGCATTATCAGTGAAACTGGCATGGCCAATCTTAATCGGGTATATAACCCTTACGCATCTCAGCAGTCGATCATTCGATATCGCAAAACTGGAATCGGGAAATGATTAGCGATGTAGATCACAAAATTTGGGTGACTTTTAATTAATATCGATATTACTCGACTTCTCTTTAAATAAACTACAATAAAAATATATCATTTTATTTGGCAAAGTAGGGCTATTCATACATATATTTTAATATCGGGTTGGATATCCATTTGCATTAGTCACAGCTTGCACTCTTCTCGGCATACTTTCAGCAAAATTTCCAGTTCGATTTTTTCCCATTCCTCTGCAAATGCATCCATCAATTCTTCTTGATTTTTGGGATAAATTGGTCATGCACGAATTCGTCTTTCCAAACCATCTCATAAATGCTCAATTGGATTTAGATCAGGACTCTGGGCAGGTCATGGAAGTAAAGTTATTAGATTTCTCTCTTTTCATTCATTAACTGGATTATATCTGTAAACTGGAGCACTATCATCTCGAAAAAGATGAAGCAATTCATCTAAAAATGCTGTTCAAGTATTTCTACATATTTTTGTCGATTAGTGATCGAAGTACATTGAGTAAACATTCCTATACCATTAATCCCCGATTACCTGATTTCATACTAGGAAGAAGATAATCAACGTCATATCTTTCATGAGGTCAACATTGCCGCGAATCATTTCTGAATATTAAATATCTTGATTCATCACTCCAAATTACTGATTCCCATTCACGTCACGAACCCAATCTTTTCTCTCTAGACACTACACTATTTTAATCGTTTTTGACGGTTTCCTTGGATATAAAAGGGTTTCTTAGTCCAACCCGACCAAAAAACCCATTTTTATGAAGATTACGACGTACGGTTTTAGAAACTTCCAAAGCAGTATTACATTTTTCGGTAACTTCGTTAATTGCTTCTTGTCGATTTTCTTTTACAATATTAATTATTCTTCGGGTGGCTCTAGAATTTAATATTTGTGGTCTACCGCGTCAGAAAGCAACTGTGGTTCGGCCAAACTTTTTATATTTGTGTATAACGTGGATTTGGGTCATCCTAGAGTTTCTTCAATTTCTTTTTCGGAAAAACCACACTTCCAAGCACCAATTATCTCGTCACGCTTAAAATCCGTAATTTGGCAATTTCTGCGAGTGTTGGATGGGTTTGACATAATTTTTTTACGTCGTTTGAAAGCTTACGATTTCGGCTTTCTAACGAGCTATTGCACGTCATAATTGGACTTTTGTGTGTTGTACAATTAACGATTATAGTCACCCCATTACGATTATTTACGTCGATCACTCCCGATTAGGGAAAAGAATCGAGGAAATCGATTAAATTTTAATCGATTAATCATGCATAAATGGTGTAACAACATTATCAAAAAGAATAAACTAATGAGAAAATCTACTTGTAAAAAACAGCAAATTTTACAACTCGTTCTCGTGCACGACAACCTATTTTGTCATTTAGCAACAATATTAATAATACTCTAGCCTTTGATGATAACCAAGAAACTATTTCCAATACAGAGTTTAATGAATCTGATATAGAGATAAGAATCGGTTCTCTTCGATTAAAATTTGAGAATCGATTCTCAAATTGAAAATCGATTAATCGAATTTATTTAAAATGATTAATTGAAATTATTAATCGATTTTAGAATCGATTCTGTGTTGAGAATCGATTCATATCCCTACTCCCGATTCCAAACTTTTGTCCACGAGTGTAATTTAATGTTATGTAACATTCCAAAATGATCCAGACACATCAGATTTTTTAACGTTAATGGTCTAGATGTTGATCAGACCATTCCGGAATGGTCCAAATCCGGATTTGGTCTAGAACATATATTTAACCTGCGGATCACGAGATATCGCGTCTTAAAGTTTCCCTGTTTTTAAAGAAACCGAATGATTTTTTTACAGGACTTTACCACTAATGAAATCGTTGAAACCATGAATAGTACCGGTACTATGTTTTTGAATAATATCCCGGACATTATAGGCAGTGCTAGTTTGTAAGCTTTTCAGGTTAGCATTTACTAGCAATGAACAAATATCTTTAGTAGTGGAATTACCAGTTTATTATTTTATTTACCAATTGATAACATTATTTTTCTTTCACAAAAAAACACAATTCCTTCTGTATACAACAGAATTGATAACATTATTTTTCTTTCACAAAAAAACACACTTCCTTCTGTATACAACAGAATTGTATCCCACAAAAATTGATCGCTATTTGATACACAAAGATAAAAATACTCGGCGTTTCTGCTATTAATAGTGATAAGCAAATTAGAAATTGATGAATGACTTGTAAGAATGCAGGGGGAACCAAAAAAGGTTACAATATTATTGAAAAAGTATATCGCACCTTCAAAGTATGATGCAGAAACTCCAAAATTTTTATTTTTGTCTTAATCGATTTGTATGACAAAGAGTCACTCGAATTACCCGAATTGGGAGAATAAAAAAAGACAATTCTACTAAAAACATGAATGATACAACTGCGCCAAGGATTCACTTATAAATAGATACTCTGCGAACTCACAAATCTCACAAAGTATAATTATTCAAATTTATTATGAAGAATCTTACTTTAATACTTGCTCTCGCCATTGTAACCTTCAGCAATCTTTCTTTTGCTACGACAGCCCCGCAATTAAGAAGAAGCGTATTGTTTGATGGCCTAATTTTTAGACGAAATTCTGCTGAGACACTCCCTATAAACTCAACTTTGGTAACAAGGGATGTCAAATGCTCAGCTGGATATGTCAAATGTCCAGACATTGATATATGTTGTCCTAGACGCAAACCCTGCTCAACAGGCGGTCCTCCTTACACATGTCTTGGTAATATTTGTAACTCACGTAGTGTAGATTGCGGAGACGGTACTTGCTGTAAGGCAGGCCAAGTTTGCACTAGCAACGGCTTCTGTGAGAAAGCACCAAAGCAGTCGAAAGGAGCTACTGTAGCACCCACCGTAGCGCCCACCGTAGCGCCCACTGACGCACCCACCGACGCACCCACCGACGCACCCACCGACGCACCCACCGACGCACCCACCGATGCACCCACCGTAGCACCTACCGTAGCACCTACCGTAGCACCCACCGTAGCACCACCTGTAGCAACAACCGCAGTAACCAAAATATCAAGTTCAACCATAGAATCCAGTCCAGCCATGTCAATAACAGTAATCTTAATTGTTCTAGTTTTTCTGAATTTAATATAATATTTATATTTCAAAACTTCATGTAATATTATTACTACTATATTGAAACTAAATACCACACATTGTTACAAAATAACATTAAAAATGTGTATTTTAAATGATTAATTTGATGCGAGTCACAGCTTTTACTAAAATCCAATTCATATTCTTATTAAATGGATCTGTAAGAGCTTGTTTTGTAACATTCGGCTATATTAGGTATGATAACAGATTGCTCTGGTAATAGTGCACGAATAGAATTTTTATACCTGTTAAAGTAATAAATTTTATCGCCATTGATAAAATGTAGTCATTTTGCGAAAGTCTTTTTTCCTATGAACGTATCGGTATGTGTTGAAAAGCTCGTCTGAAGAATCCCAAATTATTTCTCGACTAGCTTAAAGTAACGAAATCAAAACTTCCATATACATGTATATATCGATCCGTTTTGTGTATTAATGTATAAAAATACATTGATACCTAAGTGAAAAATATATTACAAAAATATGTCTCAATAATTAGAAAAGAGCTAAAGTTGATAAGACCCTTGGTTGGACAAGTGCAGCACACCTAAACTCGTCAACAAACTTCATGTTCTAACGATTTTTTAATTAGAACATTAATACAATCTTTAATCCGATAGAATAGACCTTTCTTAATTAAATTTTGTAGTTGAGAAGTTAAACATAAAATTTATTTAAGTGTTTAGGTGCGCCGCACATAACACTAATTGTTGGCAGATGTTCCACTATGGTTAATTTTGCATTCGTAGCTTTGCTAGAAGTTCAAGGCAATAATTACTTGTGTAGTTGTGTTTGATTTATTTTCATCCTCGTCGGTTTGTTGTGTAGGCTTGATTAAATTCAAGAAATTAGTTTAGAAATTATATGAAATTAAAACAGCAAATCTATTATCAAAGATACTAAAAAATACTTTATACATGTACATGTATAAAGATAATTAGGAGCAGGTGAAGAAAAAGAATGATTTAGATAGATTTAAGTGTAACATGTTAATAAATTTGGGTGATTTTTACCTTTATTTGGATTCCCATAAGCTGGGATAGATGGTTGTGGTGGTTGCGATTGTGGTTTTGATGAAGGAAAGACAGATTGTAATAACATACAAAATTGGTTTGTCACGTATGATGCTGCATCTCTTAATTACATCGTCGCACGTAGAATTGATGTTGCATACATGTGCATGTACATGTACGTATTTGGTAATTTCATTGTCAGAAATTTACACTATAATCAGAAATTCCATTTTACGTATTAAGCTAAACTAAAAACAATCATTGTTTAACGTTAATCTTTTAAGCCTTTCAATAATTCTATGTAAATACAGTTGCATGCTGTGACATATTTACGTTTGTCATAATATCACAGCCTATTGCGAAAAAAATTGTTTCAACAATAACGATAATATTTCTCGGTTGTAATATTGCGACCTGCATACACATGTAATAAAAAAAATATGGCAGTCATCCGCACTGATATTAGTAAGTATGAATGCATATCGATATATGAATCACAATATGCATGAGGTTATTCATTTTATGCCGAACAATCGCATCATATACTTGAGTCATATGAAAATAAACAACGCCACCATTTTTTAAACTTGTCAAAATTAGTTAATATACAAATCCTAATAAAAGCGAAAAAAAGAGGTGTCTGATTAAAAGCATGACAAGAGGAATTCATAACATGACTTTTTTCGAATTTTACTTTAGATGAACAGAAGTAACCTACCCTCCATAACTTTTCGTAGATCATGTGTAATGTACATGTACAGTCAAAGTCTTTTACAACGGCATTGGATTGGCACTTTTAAGCCAGTATATAGTGCTTATATTAAAAATCGGGATATCAATACGGTATAAGCCGAATCTAATGTATACAGCGCCGCCGTTGTAAAGGACTTTGACTGTACTATAATTTTCCGAGCATAAAGAACATTACAAATGTTGATCATCGATGCTTTTTATATGGTTCAAGTAATCTATACTCAACAATTTGTTTCAATTTTAAAATCCCACAACTCAATATAGAAACAAAATTTGACCAGTAACTTTGTTCTTTATGATAAGCTCTATAAAGTTACCAGTCAGATTTTGAAAATTTTATCTCTACATTGAGATCAAAGCTTTTAAAAATTGAAACAAATTTTTGAGTATATATAGATTGTGACAGATTAAAACGAAACCGATTAAAATGAAATCAGATTTCATTTTAATCCGCTACTTGAACCATATAAAAAGCATCGATGATCAGCATTTGTAATGTTCTTTATGCTGGAAATTATAGTACATTACACATGATCTACGGAAAGTTATGGGTTTAGGTTAGTTCTGACGAGCACTGTATTTGAAAAGGGTTAGGGTTCGGAATATATTTTAAAAAATTTATCTAAATACAGTACATGTAGCATACAGTATAGCAAACAATTATTTTTATGTTATAATCCTACTAGTACTGGTAACGCTTTTCCCTGTACCATGCTTATCCGTCCAGTTACCGTTACCGTTACCGTTATTCTATCGATCTAATGTTAATCACTGATGTTGATGTAATGTATTACCATTTGAGTGCGTTTTTGGTATTTTCATTGTCGCGTTAAAAAATATGGAACATTTTCTTTACAACAATAAGTTCGTTTTTATCATTATATGTTGGCATCTATAAATAGCATTAGAAAAAATATAAAATATGTATTATATTTGTCCGTTGTACACTGGACCAACTGAACATATAAAATTTTATAAGTCCAGTGTCCCGTTAAATGACTGGGCATATAACAACGCCCAACCCTGCTTGAATACAGGTTACTGCTTTCTATTTATAAACTTTTGAAAATTAACTTTTCACAATTTTTAGGATAAAAAAAATATGAATAAATAATTTTAAATTACGTGTATTTGTTTTCAAATAAATATTAATTACATAGATTCGATTTGTGATAAATGAAATAGAATAATGCAATGATGTAATTTCAGATATAAATATAAATATAAATAATATAAATCATTTATGCACATTGAATCGATTACGTAAATCGATTAGAAAAACATAAATTAGGAACCTCCATTCGAATTGCATCTTTTTGTTGAGGAATTGTAATTACAGGTATTAATTGCCACGATCAATGGTGCCAAAGGATGATTGAGCTTTAAAATATCCAAGCACCCTCAACTAAAAAGACAATCCTATAACAGAACTTTAATAAATTCTGAGAATAATGATCGATTTTATTAATAAAATTTCCGAAAAAAATTTGTGCATCAATTAAAACTTTCCGTTATCATCGGAAATAAACCGTGTAAGAGAATAGTATTTGGCGGAACAGGACCAAAATTAAGAATTTTGCAACAGTTACCGTATTTGAAGGAAATCTGATGTTTTACGTACATGTACTACGCTACGTACTGTTGTGTGCTACTATTTTAATCGGTCAAAGAGGGGTTTTTACGCAACTGGGATGAGAGCTAGACTGAATTATTTACGAGTAA